CAGCAGCAGCCTCGGCATCATCCCCAGCACCATCAACAGCCCGAGCATCAACAGCACCTTTGGCATCATCCCCAGCATCATCAGCAGCCTCATTAGGAGGTAGAAAATCTCACTTTCTATCCGTCAGCTCTGGTAAGTACTAAGCCCTCACTGTCTCTTCTTCCTTATCAACAAAAATTATTATAACTTTTTTTTTCTGCTTACAGGGTTATCCAGGGTATGTGGAGCTGAGACCTGGAGTCAACTTCCCAGAAGCCTGGGCCCACCAAATCTCCAGAGCTCAGTTGGATGAGCTTATAACGCGGAGGATTCAGGATGGGCAAATGGGGAGGCCAGCCAGACCCATCGATCTGTCTCCGCAAGGATGGCTGCTGATTCTCAACGGGGCCTACATGTTGGTGCCTCGAGAGAGCTGGGAGCTCCTGACGGGGATTAGCCCTGAGGGTTGTGATGGTGTTGGTGCCATGAATTTGCCAATGATCCAATGGCAGCACGAGGCGTAAAATGTCATAATTGATGGAAAAAAATTATGTAAAAAACTAATGTTCATCTATATATATCTTTTAGTAACAATTATAATGTATAAAATTTTAGTCAGTAATGTTCATGAATAAAAAAAGTTAAATTTAAATATTCTTTATTTGTCGTCCCATCCTTTTTATAGATGAAGTTTTCTTCGACCGCTCCGCCACAGCATTGCACTCCAAAAACCGCGAATTAAACCGCTAATCAAAACCGCGAATTAAAACGGCGAATTAAAACCGCGAATTAAATCCGCGAATAAAATCGCGAATTAATCGGCCACTTACCACTCACTCGCGGGACACCCTGAGGCAAACCCTTCTGACCCTTCGCAAAACGGTTGAGCCAGACACGGCCTCATACATCTACCGGAGCGAGACGGAGACTTCTCTCTCGCACAAAAGGTTCTCATTCCCGGCGCCGGATTTAGGGGTTGGAGCTAGAAAATTGCGTTCAACTTTGAATCCATAGGAGATTCGCGGGTACGATCAAGACAAAATTTGTGGTAAATGTTCTAATAAAAAATATGGAAGAAAAAAAGAAGAAATTCATCGATTCAATGTCAAGATAGAAATAGCAACTTATATTAAATTAACTCTCAATAAATAAACAAGCTATTGAAAAAAAAACACTGATATTCCGAATTACAAAAAAAAAATTCATTAACTTCAATTTTTTAAATGGAAAACATTTTTTTTCCCTATCTGATCTTCACGCGGCTCTGGGGGATGAACGGTTGGGAACAGGGGTAAAGTGCCCCAAACATTTTTTTGTGTAGAATTTTGAGCTCTACATCTTTGTATATTACGTTTTTGGACGTACAGCGCGTTATTCACGAGTTATTTCGAAAAACCGGTGTTCAGGGGTAGTTTTTCGGCTTTTTCAACCCCCGCACAAACTTGGGGAACCTTAAACATCCGCCATTAGTTTCATACGCCCAAATCACAAATTGTATCAAAAATGGAGCCTGATTAGCAAATATTCGTATGTTAGACCTTGGTTCATTGGACTACTCCTGACTCACTCGACGCCGGAGAGCCGTTCGGGGTTTCTCCGCGCTTTTGAAAATTCATTCCTCCGCTCCTAC